GGCTCTGCCAGACCCGTGCGGGCGTTTGCGAGGCGGCTCCGGGCGCTGTCGTGCCCCCCGTTTGCCTCTCCCGGCAGCAGCGCTGCCACCAGCGGTTCCGTCTCGGGCCAGGGGCCGGATCGCGGTGCGGGTCCGAAGCGCAGTTTTCGGCTGCTTCTCGGGGGGGACCCACGGGACGTGACGTATTCGGTGTGGCGGACGATACCGGCTGCTTCCCGAAGGGGTGTGAGGCTTCGGGCTGTGAAATGGGGGGACGTAGAGGAAAACACATTTCTCATCTACTTAAACACCCACTGTTTTGTGTTTAACACCGTGCTTGGATAGTTAAGGGGAAAAAAAGAAGTGATTGATTTTTGTGGTGTGTTAATTCTTCTGAATGAGGAATGCTTTGTCTGAAGGTTTAACGCTGGTTTAAATGCTGCAAACCCCTCTTGTGAGCCTGTACGAATAGTACTGTGTACTCATTTGGGTTGTTTTTTTTTTCAATAAGACTCGTGACTTTTTTTTCCTTAAGAGAACACTTAGATAATTCCCACCCCTGGCTCTACCTAGTATAAATCATACACAGTCCAAACTCAGTTAGTTTTGGGTCTGGAGATCTTCTTTAGTTGGTGTGCCGGTTTTAAAGACTTCACTCTAAATTCTTTCTAGATACACACGATAGAAGCCTCATACCATAGTAGCAGCCCCTTCTGTTTTGTTTCTGTTTGGTCGGTTGGGTTTTGTGTCTTTTCATCATTGCCGTGATGTGTATATTGAGCTGTTTATATATTTAAACTACATGTGAATTGCATTCAAAAGACATAGTCTGAAAGCTTAATATAGCGTTCGAAGTGAACAGGATGAAGGAACAGGATTGCAACAAATTATTGATATTATTTTCTTGGCAAAAAGCGTTATCTTTCATCTGGGTCCCCTATCCTGTTCTCTGTGGTCACACAAGCACTTTTGTTGCCACGAGGTAAGGCGTGTGGGAGAGAAGCAGATGATCATCTGGTAGTGGTGATGTAGGAGAGGGTGGCATCGGGAGTGCCCTTTTGGTGACAGTGATGCTGGCTGTGTAGAAGTGCAGCTTTACCTGGAGTTGAGGAGGTAACAGCCTCATTTAGGCAAGGCCGTGGAGCTTTCAAATGATGCTTCTATCTTGTATTCCAGTGAAGATCAAAGGACTAGTGGTCTTGATGATCTGCTTTCAAGCTCCTCCAGAGCCACTTCCAGCAGAGGACAGCATGTTTCAGTTTGCTCTCCTGCTTTGGTTCCCAGTGGGTTTTTTTTTCTAGCTGAGCTTCACTTGAGAAAATTAGTCATGTTTTGTGTTTTACTGGGTCCAACTGCTGACACTGTTTAGGGTTGATGTCCTTGTCTTGCCTTCTTTGTTTCTTCCCAGCTGCACAAGGACTGCTTCTGCATCCCAAGCTCTTGTTGTTTGCACTTCTGCATTTGGCAAGTGTTTTATCCAAGACCAGATCAGTAGTCTGGATCTGTGCAGCCCTAGGTTGAGCCAGCTGGGTGTCTCTGCAGTGTGCTTGCTGGGAGAGGGCTATGCAGACTCACCCAGACTGACCTTATCTGGACCCAGCAAGGTCTGTTGATCCCTCTTTTCCCTTACCAGCAAAGGGTGTCTCTGCAGCTGAGCACCACTGCTTTAAAGCGTATGTGTATGAGGGTAAAGTTGAAGTTATCGTGTAAGTAGGATCTCTGGATTTGTTTTTATAAAAAAGGACTCTCCACCTTGATGTGGTTCAAGTGGGTTACTTTTCCTCTGTAATATCCTTGCAATAACTCCTTTAAAATTGTGTTTTTATTATTATTTCCATACGATGTTACAAAGCCTTCATTCTGGAAGTTGCTTCTCAGTAATGGTTAATAAATTCTCATAATAACTGATATAAAAGCTGGAAGCTCAGATGCGGCACCTGTGAATGAAGTATGAGGGGAAAAAGGGGTGGTAATTGACATTTGTTCTTTCATAAATTCCCAGTGTTTCAGTCACAAAGAAGGAGTGTTTAACTAGTTCTCAAAGCAAATGAGCTAACATAAGTTTCTGATGGAGATTTACCCTTCTAAGGCAATCTATTCTAATATTTTGCTGTTCCTACCATTGAAATATTTATTGTAATTTCTAATCTAAATTTATTTGCCTTAATTTAAAATGCATCTTAGAATTCTTAAATGCTTGTGAACTCTTTATCGCATCTCTGCAGGAATGTGTCACATGTTTTGAGGGCTTTCTCTTTAGTGTTTTCCACACTTAAGACCCCATTACCAGTCTTCCCTCGTCAGTTATTTTTAAATTTTTCTTATATCTGTGGGCTATTCTAACTGCTTTTCTTGAGACTTTTTCCACTTGGTTTGCATTTTTCTGGAACTGGAGCAGGTGGTCTATCTGAGTCCTTAGTACAACAGGCAGGGTCAAAACTATTTCATGTGCTTTTCATATGATACCTGCATTTCATACATCTCAGTAGGATGATGAGTCTTTACGTATTTTTTTTATTTTTTGCAGTGATGTGTGATTTATGTTCAGCATATCCAGATTCTTTAGCACTTTACCACCCAAACATACCTCTGGGCAGAACAGTATTTAACCATGCCTTCCATGTTGTTCTTACCTTTTTGCTCTGTCAAGCTACATATTACTTCAGGTGACTTTTACACTTGGTTCAAGTGACCTTGGATTCTGAGTCACTCCATCCAAGTACTTGTTACTGTCCCAGATTATCTTCTGTTAATTTAAGAAAGTGACCTTTCTGTCCTGGTATTTTCCAGTGTGTAATTTGTGAACAAGGTGTTGTCTGGGAGATCTTTGAAGTTGCTGCTTGTGACCATAAGAAATCAAACTAAGGCAGACCAAAATACAGCGTTGCCTGCAGTAAATTTCTTGCTAAATAGCCCTTCCCTGCTGGCACCCTCCCCTGCCCCCGCCCAAGTTCCTTTTTGTAACGGTGGAGAATGCCAGCCGATTAAAGCCATGTGAATGGGCTTGCTACCTATTTTCTCTCTGTCTGAAATAATGAACTTGTCTCTGGGTATATGTTTCTAATCATCTCTCTGTACTTCAGTATGCACCGGGTTTGTTTATATTATATGACTGTCAATTTAAGAGTGTCAAAAGTCCAGTTAAACCATAACTAAATTGCCTTTAGTTGCTGTTTTGCTACCTACATTGTTACTGTGTCACTGAAGGAAATTATATTTGTTTGATATGATTTGTTCTTAACAAATTGCGTATTGGATCTTATCTGCTTTGTTATCTGAAATATGCAGGAGATAGGTTGTTTGTCTGATTATTTATTTCAGCATCTTCCCAGGGACTGATGGTAACCCTGACTGGTCTGTGTTTTCCTGTGTATTTGGTTTCCTGCTCCTTAGAGGCAGGTGCTTTTGCCCTTCTTCAGGCTGCTGAAACTTAATGCAGAGAGCAAAAATGATCTTTCATAGCTGCCTTTGTCAGTTTTCAAAGGGTAAATATTCTCTCTACCAGATTTGAAAACCTTGAAGTACTCCTTTAATGCTGTAACCCCTGAATGTAGTCCATAGGTTTATGGAAGCTTATTAAGTTGTCTGCAGAAGGATATTGCCTTTATTGTGCTTTCTCTTTGAAGTTTGCTGGTAAATATGCATGGGCAATTCAGAGTCTTGACTTTGTTGGCTCAGGAGGTTTGGAGCAATTGCTCTAATGCATTTCCCGGTTCTAGCTTGTGTTCTTCCTCCTTTTGCTGCGATATGAGTTACATTAGCCAGTTAATCCATCTTAGTGAATGAAGATCGATGCAGAAATCGCCCCAAGTGCTTTGACATCATCTGTTAGAGATTTTCCTTCCCATTGAGTAGTGGGTTAATGTGCTTCTACTTCAACTGCTCTTTTGTTCACTGAAGATGTTCTGAAGGAATATTTTCATGTTTACCTTCCGTGTTGCCTCTCAGTAGTTTCTTTCCTAATGCTTTGATCTTTCCTATTTTGTTAACTGTGCTGTTCACTTAGTAAAGTGACCTTCAGTGATTTGATTTGCACTTGTGCAAAATCACTTGAATTTCAAATCATTAAAGAGCCTATACTTGGCTGAGGTGATTTGTCAGTAAGCTTCAGATCTTTCTCCTGGATTTCAGATCTCTCTTGTGGTTTTACCATTAGTTAATTATCTTACGGCTCTCTGTTTTAACCTTCTGAAGAACTGTGAGAGTTGCCATCTTACAGCTTCTGTCAGCCAAGTTGTTTCCACTTTCATGTTCTTAGCCAGTTTCTCCTCTTTGGTTAGAGTGAAACTAGAAGGGCCTTCCTTTTATTGTGGGTTGTTTTTTTTTTTGTTTTGATTTTTTTTTTCTTCTGTCCTATATAAACAAAGTTAATCTCAAAATATTTGAGAACTTGTTGGACAATGTGTGTCCTGTTTTGTTCCGTCTTTTTTAACAGATGGCTACAGTGATGAAGGTTCCTCTTGCTATGAAATCCTGTGCTTTGGAGGTTTGGCTGTTCATTCTTTTCTTCTTCTCCACTTCATTAATTTAAATCTCTCTCATCCGGGCTAGATACTACGTGTTAGAGTACCTGCATTGGCCTTCCATCTCTTTTACTGTGACCTTGATCCTGCCAACAAATCCATTCTGGATTTTAGCACCAACATATGCAAATAGCATTTTTCCTCCCTTGTCCTTTGCATATCTTCCTGCATCAGTGTGCTTGACCCTACGTTAGAACTCTCAGTGGCTTTCTCCTAATGCTGTGTGTTTGCTGCATTCAGTTCCCTTGTGGTCAGTGGGGCTCTGGAATGTGTTTGTGTCCGCTTGTGACAGAGCAGGGGTCAGTGTGCTGATAAGCATGGCAGTGCTGCAGTGGAGATAAGGGATAGGCAGAGGAGTGTGAGGGGACGAAATCAGACGTTGGGTCTCGGCTGTAAACATCCTTTGAGTTGGGCTTCCATTGCAGTTTATTCCAATGGACTCATGCCAAGCCTTACAATTATGGGAATGTTTTTTGGGAGGTTTATTTCTTCTTATTATTTTGTTTTGTTTGGTTATTGCTTCTTGACCAATATCACCAGAAGTGTAATACCATGTGGTTTTGGCATTAGAGTAATGTTAAATAAGCGTTTTCCACTATAAATCTTCCCTGTCACTGGGAGGGAGAATGATAAATTAGCAGTTAAAAGTTGTTCTAGGATGGGACTTAGTATGGAACTAGTTCGAGAATAATGAATGTCTTTTAAAGTTTATTTTCTTAAATATAACAGAGGTTCAAGGCATCGGACACTTGGCTTAAAGATGCTTTTGTGCAGGGGAAGGTGTGTCTAATTATGGAGCAATGCCTGATTAAAGTTCTGCAATGCATTAGTTTCTAAGGTGCACTGATGTCTTTGCCTTCTTTTAAAAGTTCACTCTCAAGAATTATATTCAAAAGCCTTTGTGCATGCATGACAACTTTTGATTATTCAGATGCTTCTTAATGTCTTTTCTGAGTGTACAGATGCTGGGTGCGTGCTTGCCAATGGAGTTGTAATCCACCTAGCTTCATTTGAGACCATGAATTATCTTTTACTCTGCCTGCTTGGATTTCATGGCCTGTGTTGAGTTTTAGTAGGCAAGCTAAGCATGTCTCACTGATTTACTTACATAAAGAGGAAAGGAAATGCATCCACCGAAAACTGCATTAAAAGAATGTTAAGGTTGTTACTGCAAACAGGACTGGGTAAAGAAATTTACTGTTGGCTGTAAACTTGGACCATATGGTCTCCAACAATCAGACACAAAAGACTGAAAGTAAAAAAAAAGGTGGTTAATTGGGGCTGCTGGTTCAGCTTTGTTGTCCCGCTGCCTGCTATAGGGAGGAGGAGGGAAACTGGTATGTAAAACTCTTAGGCGTCATTCCTGCTGCTCCGGCTACCTGTGACCCATCCTGACTTGTAGAGAGAGGAAACGTGAATGTCTGCAGACCAGCAAAAACAAAGAAACTTCCTTTCCTCCCTAGTATTGTGCCAGCTGTTGTGCTGTCTCTGCAAAGTGTTTTTCCCATGCTTGACACCCCTGGGAGATAGGGGCACAGGTATGAGAGCAGCCTCCACAGAAGACTGATCAGCTGTTGCCAGTGTGATGACTTCGAATTTGTTT